CCTCTTCCCTTGGATGTCCACTCTCATCCATGGAAACTAGGAGCCCCTACGACTGAGTTTTGACATCCTTTAAGTAGGAAATCTATCCTTTCTCAAGTGAAGCCAAACCCAATCCCCAACTTCAAAGTTTTACCTTTTTCCTCCCTATTATTGTATTTGGCTTACTTTTGGGTTTGCTTCTTAATTTGGCTCTTGGCTTTCTCGTGATATTTCTTTACAAAATCAACCCTAGATACTCCTTCTTTGTGAAACAAGGAAGTAGTATTAGGGAGTGGGAGCAAGTCAACATGAGTGAGAGGATTAAAGCCATATACAACCTCAAAGGGGGATAAATTAGTAGTCTTGTAGACTACTTTATTGTAGGCAAACTCTATATGAGGGAGATAGTCATCCCAAGTTTTCTTATTTCCCTAATATGACCTTCAACAATATGGATAGAAACCTATTCATTACTTCGATTTTCCAACAGTTTGTGGGTGACGAGTAGTGGAATAGACAAGCTTTGTTCCTAGTTTTTCTCATAGTACTTTCCAAAAGTGACTAAGGAACTTAGCATCCTTATCAGATATAATAGTCTTGGGTAGACCATACAAACGAACAACCTCTTGAAGAAAATTTTAGCAATATAGCTAGCATCATCTACTTTGTGGCATGGTATAAAATGAGCCATTTTGCTAAAAGAATCCACTATCACAAAGATTGAATCGAATCCCTTTTGAGTCCTTAGGAGACCAAACACAAAATCCATACTAATGTCAACCCAACGAGAGCTAGCTATAGGGAGAGGTGCATAGAGTCCATGAGACATCACTCTTGCTTTTGAAGATAAATGATGCACTTAGAACAATGCCTTTGGATATCTATTCTTATATGTGGCCAATAGAATTTAGATTTTAAAAGGCTTAGGGTTTTGTTATCCCCAAAATGGCCCATGACTACTTTATTGTAGGCAAACTCTATATGAGGGAGATAGTCATCCCAAGTTTTCTTATTTCCCTAATATGACCTTCAACAATATGGATAGAAACCTATTCATTACTTCGATTTTCCAACAGTTTGTGTATCAGCACAAAAACTCGTCAACGCTGTTTAACAACACATTTTAACAACACAACATCTCACTTCAACTTTAAACAAAACAATCAACTCAACAGCTTATTAGCTCAACTCATAATTTACAACTCAATCATCATAAAATAATATCTTTTGAACACATGGCACAACATACAACTTTATAGCAACATACAACTCTTCTCTAACAACTTAACAACATAGTCTACTAATAACATCTATATAAATCACACACATCTACACGCTTCACATCATGCTTCTCACAACTCACAATATTATCATCATGCACTTCACAACTTTCAACTATATCATCTCATCATATTTCACAACATAAACATGTCCACACATAACATATAACAACTTTATCAACCTAATTTCAACATGCTTCAACAATATCATAGATCAACACACAACTTGTAAACAACTTCACTATACTCAACATGCATCTCTTCATTTCACTTTCTACTAATCATACATCTCAATGTAATTATACAACTCCATATGAGTTCCTAAACTCACATACAACCAAACAACATGCAAACTAGCTTCCCTTACCTGAAGATTGGCTCAGAATAGCCAAGAACTTGAGAAGAAGTAGAATTTCCTTTCCGAAGCTCAACCCGGAACTTCAATCCACCCAAAGCATGCTTCCTAGTTCAGAGTCCTTCTCTCTAAAACTTCTCTCTAAAAACCTCTCCTTCTCCTCAACTGCACAACCTCTATTTATAGAAGTCTGAAGTAGCCAAAACGGCCCGTTTCAAATCTGGAACGACCCATTTTGGCCTCCTTCATCATGTGTAAAATTCACATGCAGAACGACTCATTCTGAAACTAGAACGGCCCGTTCTGGCATGTCTAGAACGGCCCGTTCTGGAGTTGAATTTAACTCACAATTACCATTTTGGAACGACCCGTTCCAATCCAAGATTCATATGTCTATTTAGTAGTTTGGAACAACCTGTTCCAGTTTGAGAACGGCTCGTTCCAAACTACTAAATCACCCATGGCCTTCTAAAATACTTACTACGTTACAGGATTAATTTAAGTTAATTAAGAATGATAATTGATGTATTTAAGATTTTTGATTTTATTGACAATGATTAAATTATACTTTTGATTTTATCATATTTTTAAGATTTATTTTAGTTTTTTTTGTTTTTTAAAAAATATTTTAATCCTTTATCTTTTAAATGGGTCACTGTGATCCTTTTAAAATGTGATCATTTATAATTTTGTGATACAATTTAATATTTTATTTTGATTGATTCAATATGTGAAAATTATTTAATTAAATTCACTTATATTAAAATTATTAAACACATTTGATGTTTGAAAAAAAAATGATAAATATAATGGAATCCACGTGAAAATGAGTTTCATCGGTAATAAGAAAATTAAAATAAAAAAAAATTCATTATCTTAGTGTTTCACTGATGCTCATGAGATATATTTTCATGTGAATTTTCACTAAATTTATAAAAAAAATTTGTCTGAACATTAATTGTCTTAAATAGTTTTCATGGAAGTAAACATAATGAGATATGTTTAATGTCTTAAATAAATAAATAAAAATATTTAAAATTATTTCACAATATTTAAAATATTTTTTTTAGAAGAACCAAATTGACCAAATTTAACTATAATGAATAAAATACATTTATTAATGATAAATTAAAATAAATATTAAAAATAATATAAATGACCAAAAATATAATTTAGTCTTTAATACACATGATTATTAAACCAACTTGTCTGTTCAAATTGAGATTATTACTAGCTCTTTTATTATGCTTAAAAATGGTCACTAAAAAAATTGTCATATAGTAAAATATACCATTATGTGAGATTATTGCTACCGGTAGATAAGAGATGATACCCCATAACTTTTGAGTAGGGGGTCAATGACATGCTAGGAATCATCAAACTAAAACACTATCCACTTAGTGATTAATCGAGGTTTAGCAATATTTAATTTGATCCAAGACTTTACTTGCTAAACTAAGGGTCAATAGATATCTATTAAAAGAATTTCATCTTTAGCGTAAAGGAATCCCCTTAAATAAATATGCTCACCAAAATAGGATTTTATAGTCAACGATGTCAAACTTGCATCATCAAAAATGCAAATTCGAATCAAATCCTATATTATTTGTGTTTGTTCTAAATTAAAATATTATATCATAAAGTTTCAAAAGAAATGACAAAGATAAAAATTACGGTACATTGTATCGCCTTTGGTATATCGTTTGGTCAAACATGTTCATATTATAATTTTTATTAACTATTATACTTATGGCTATTTAATGGTATACATTATTTTATTCAAGCTCATTTAATGTAACAACTTTATATATTATTTTAAGGTTTAAATATGTCTTTATTCTCTCAAATTTAAAACAAATATGTTTTAGTCTCTTAAATTTCAAATTAAGGTTTAAATCTCAAAATTGTGTTAAAAAATTGAAAATATTAATTATTTTAGAATGACCAAATTGATCCAAATTTAAGAGATAAAAAAACCAAAATAAATTTATTAAAATATAAATGACAAATGAATTTTAAAAATAAAATAATTGACTAGAAGTATAATTTATCCTTTAAAATTAGTTGATGTTTAATGCAACTTCTCAATCCGAACTAAAATTATTACAAGTTTTCAATTAAAATATTAAATCTTAGAGTTATAAAAAAATTATATAAATAAAATTTATCATCTAAACTTATCAACTAAACTTGTCGGTCTGAACTAAAGTTATTGTTAGTTTTAAATTAAAATATTAAATTTTAGAGTTATAAAAAATGATAAAGTTAAAGGTTACTATTTAAATTTGTCAGTTCAAACCGAAATTATTGCTAGTTTTAAATTAAAATATTAAATTTTAAAGTTATAAAAAAATATAATACTGCAATAAATATTATTATAATGACATATAAAAAATGTCATTATAAATTCTTGTAAGTATATATTTATTTAATATATATTTATATACAATTTTATTATTAATTTTGAATAAAATTCAACATATATATTATGTATATATAATTTATAAATTCACTTTTTAACAATTATAAAAATATAATTATAGATAAAAGTAATTTTTAATGACAAAATATTATGTTATTATAAAATGTGTCACTATAAACTAATTTCGTTGTAGTGTAAGAATAAAAGTTATCATTTAAGTGTGTGTTTTTTTTTGTCGTTCCTGGAGTATCCACCGTCGATAGCAGTGACTAATCTCCTCGCTACGTTGGAGGCACCTCAAAGGATGAGATAGTTGGCCCCAAGATTTAACGCAGCTGCATACACAAGACAAGATTCGAATCCCTGACCTTGTTTAAGCGTGGATTAACTCCTACCGCTGAACCACACGCTTGGGATTATTTAAGTGTGTGTATGGTTACACGTTCAAAACCTGAATCAAAACAAAAATCACGTTTAAAACGTAAAAGCTAGAACTGATAGCTTTCATTCTAACATGATAAATCACGTTGAAAATCTAAACCAAACACACACTAAATTTGTCGGTTCAAATTAAAATCATTTCTATTTTTAAATTAGAATATTAAATTTTAGAGTTATTAAAAAATGATAAAGATAAAAGTTGAATGATAACGCATTTTGTATACTATTTTTTTTTGTAATATAAAATTTATATTGCAGTGATAGAGTTAATTACTAATTTTTCTGATGATTTTCAATAAAGTTATTGTTGACTACAAAATAAATAATACATTTTATTTATGAATGAATATTAATTTTTTTACATTTTTAATCTTATCTATAAAAAAAAGTTTATTTTTAACATATCGTTCACACTACTTTATTCTTTTTTCAATATGTAACAGCTAGTCTTTAATTTATAGCTACCATTAATATTCTATATAAAGGGCCTTTTTGCTATCCTTAGTCAACAAATTTGCTCTGCTTTAATCTTTTACTACCATATCATATTTCTCTTTGTATCAACCCATCTTGAAATCATGGGAAATATAGCCATCCACAAACTTCTAATTGTTCTATGTCTTTCATGCTGTTTATTTGATTGTTACTCATGCAACAGTAAGATTCATGGATCTTGATATTTTAGAGCTTTGATGTAACCTTTTTGGTTTGTTTGTAATTTACATATAGAACTTAAGGATATATCTTGTGAATAATGTAGGAATCCCTATGACTTGGAAAGTGGATCCATCAATGGTAGATGGTCATGTTAAGGTAATATTTTTCTTTCTATTTGTGTTGTCCCATCCCATTTTCCCCTTTTCTTACCTTGGTCTTGTGATCCATATAGAAGAGGCTTTCTTATTGTTGTTATCTTGGTTATAGATTTTATTCTTAACTTTTTAACACTTATCTTATTTGTGTTAAATAAGAAAACAAAAGGAAAAATAACTTCCAAAGCACATGTTTATGCTGTTTTAGAAATGGTAGAATCAATTTTCTCCTTGTTGATTAAATTTTTTTAAGGGACTAAAACATATCTTTAAAGATTTCAAAATAAATAAATATATATATATACATTTATTAATGATAAA